CGGGCGCGACACTGAGGGTTGCGATCCGTTGCCGGTCACGAAAAAAGACAAAAAAAAAATAGGGCCGAGCCCATGGCGCACTCGGGAGAGTGCGGCGCTGGGAGCTCAGCGATGCTCCCGCCGCGGGTTTGGATCCCATATAGGGATGGCCGGTGCGCTCACTGGCTGAGCGCGGTGTGGGCGACACCACACCAAGGGTTGCAATCCCCTTACCGGTCACGAAAAAGACAAAAATAAAATAAAATAAAATAATAAAAAATTAAAAAGCATTGATTCCATCAATAAAAGAAACCTCAAAACCAACTTTTACCAAAGGAGAATGCAGAGGTTAGTTAGAGTTATTATACACTTATATACTTTTTTATAAAGTTTGGAAGTTACCAAACTTTGTACACTTTAGTTTGAAGAGGAAATTGAGGCTGAAATGAATGGCCATCAGCCTCAGTTAACTGGAGACATAAAATCCTGACAAGGGGTATTTCTGGCCTCTCTCATGGGTATTTCTGACCGTCTCTTGTGCACCACTTGTTTTAGATGTGCACAATGATAGAGGTGCTGGTTGAGTTCCATTGGTATATAAACTATTAATATATTAATTCAATAATTACCTAGTATGAACTGTGGGCTGAGGACATGAAAGTGTACAAATTAAATGCTGGAGCCCACCGTTCTGTGGGAGAACAGGAATTCTCGTTTATTGCTTACAGAAAGGAATCTGACAATATCTACAAAATCACAGCCATCCACTTCTGCATCCCACTGTACACCTACACTCATAAGAAATGGCACATGCTCTCCTTGCAGCTCTTTATGTGCAAAAAGACTGGAAGCCATCCAAGTATTCAAACGATACAGGAGAGGTCAAATAACCCACAGTACAGCCACACACTGGAATACTATGCAGCGGTAAACAATGCAAATCTTCATATGCTGATATGCAGGAAGCTGCCGGACTTTTTTTTGTACAATGCAAAAACAAAGTGCAAGAGTACCTATTGCGAGCAACCTCTGGTGCAAGGGGATGGGAGGGAGTTAAACATACTATTGCCGTTTGCTTGGTTTTGCTTTTAAAGGGGGGTGGGGGTACAAACAAGCAAAAAACTACCTAATAGAGAATGCAAGATTTTCCAGCATATATCGTTTCAATTCGGTGTATCATTATGTCATGACCCTGTAAATATCGCCTATTTTTGTAACTGCCTTCGCAAGGAGCTCACAGCATCGTAGAGAAAACCGGAGAGAGCGTAAGTGCAACACTTGGCGTTCCTTCGCTAAGGAATGTTCGGGAAGGGCTCCTCGTTGCTGCCAGGCAGGCCGGGGCGAGAGCGGAAAGCAGCCGGCACCTGCCGCGTGTGCCCGACACCCATCCCTTGACCGCGCACTCCAGCAAGGGCAAGCAGGGCGAACCCACGCCGCGCCTGCTCCGGGCCCCCATGTCCCTGCTGCCCCTCCGAGGTCGCCCCAGCCCCGCCTGCGCCCGACTTACCATGATGGTCGCTGCCGGGCCGCACGCTGCGTTCCCAAGTCTGCTCAGTCGGATGCCACGAGCCCAACTGCCGGCCCGCCACGCTGCGAGCTGCTTCCTGATTGGCCCGCCATCTTCGCGACTGCCATTGGATCCGACCACGTCGGGGCGGGCCCCAGACCCAAATTCCAATTGCGATTGGCCATCTTCTTTGTCGGGCGAAGTGATCCTTATGATTGGTCCTCACTTTGGGCGGGAAGTGGTGACCCCGGGGTGGCCGTGCAGCCGCGGAATGTCTCATGCAGCGTGGCTGGATGAGCCAGGGCTGAGCCTGCAGGGTGGCGCGTGCTGGGGAGCTGCGGAGGGGCGACCTCGGTACAAGGAAGGAGCCCCGTTTAGGGGAGGGGGCACACTACGGTAGCTTATACCGCTTGAGCCGCATATGTTCACCTTAAAATGCAGTGTCACTACGGAGCTTTTTACATCAGTGTCGGGAGTTACATGGCTGGTAGCCATAATGGGCTTTGCAGGCTTAAGCTCATACAAAAACGTGTAAGGGCTACTCAGCAACCTTTTAAAGGTGCTGATGTTAGTATCCCGGGATGGTGAGAATTTTAAGTCCCTGGGTAACCCCCGGCTCTTGCACGATCACGTAATGTGGATCACGTGATATGTCCCAGAAAAGAAGGGGCTGAGAAGCTTTAGCAGAAAGAGGGGCGTTAATTCCGCCTTCCAAGAGTCTTAGAGACTTTTTTTTTTTTTTTTTTTTTTTTTTTTTTTTTTTTCC